CGCTGCTTTCTACAGAAGAAGTAACGCTGACTTTGGAAAAGAGATGCAGCAAATGCTCAGCCCGGGAGCGCCCTTTTAGGGCGCCCCCAAAGACAGGTGTGGTGTTTTTTTCCTTTCTTAGCAATCCCCAAGGAGACGTCGAGGAAGACTGGAGAGAGCTGAGGGCTGCAGAGCCCCAAGTCTCTTCCGGGCAGGCTCGGGAGGCTCTGACTCCCGCGAACACCCCTCACCCTGCCTGGGAGGACGATGGGCCCTGGGCGGACACGCGGACCTTCTCGGCCAAGGTCAGGCGAGCGGCAGCCCAGGCAGATTTCCCCGCGCCAAGAGAGGAATGAATGGGCTGCCGAGGCTGTCCGCCTGCAGGGGAAAACTAAGCTCCCCCCGGGGATCGAAAGGCCGTCCAGCGTCTCCTGCTCCCCCACCCGGGTGGAATGGGCGGCTCCGTTACCCTAGTGACCCCGCCGCCGCACCCCTGCCCTCTTTCGGCTCCGGAGGAACCGTCAGCGCAACCGTCGCCCCTCAGATGCCTCGGCCACTCACTCGAAGGTGTGCTCCGAGGTCCAGATCTTCATCGTGAGGGCGGCGGCTGTTCCTCGCAACCACCTTCGGAGACGCTTCCTTCGCCCGCCCGCCGCGACCGACAAGGAACTCGAGGTGAGCGGGCGGCGTCGAAGAAGCCGGGCGAGGTGGAGATCCGAGTGCGCCTGCGCGGTTGGCTCGAGGAGCGACTGCAGAAGAGTGGGTGGGGCCAAGCCTCGGGGAGGCCTCGGATAGGGCGGCTTCCTATTCAGGCCTGGTGACGTCAGAACTGAAATCAACGTCTTTTTTCTCGCCCGGCCCGTTAGGGAGGGCTGCACGGGTGCGCCTGCGCGAGAGAGTAACGGTCTCGCTAAAGCTTGGGAAGAGCCCCCCGGATGGCTAAACTGCGTGTGGATGCTCCACGGGTTGGTCCCTTTGTCCCCATCGTGCCCCTTAATACATTCACACGATTGTGGCCTTGAGAGCCGCAGTGAGGGGGACAAGATACGTCCATTGCATCTCAAGCACAGGTTAAGTAATTATAGAAGACTATTCCAGCAGTTAGAAAAGAAAATGTCACGTACTCAGATCAGTCAAACGCAGTACCTCTATGATATATACACGTACTGAAGGCAAATAAATGGATTAGAATCCTGAGGTGGGTTTTTTTTTCTTGTTCTTTTTGCAGGTTGGGTGGGGTTTGGTTTTGTTTTTAAAAAATTCTCCTGAAAATTCAACCTAGATAAGAGCTGTTAAAGTAGCTTTTCCCAACTTGGGTGCATCCCAGCTGGGTTAGGCTGTAATTCCCCAAATAATCTCAGAATTAGAATTGCGGCATTGGAAAGGACCGCACGGATTTAGTCCAACCTTCTGCGGTGTGCAAGAAAACCAATTAAATCATCCATGAGAGGTTCAGCCTCTTTAAAAACTCCAAAGATGGAAACCCTCGGCCTCCATAAGTAGCCTGTTCTTCTATCGTACAGATCTTACCTTCAGGATTTTTTTTCTTAAAAGTTAAATGAAAATCTCCAGAGTGGCTGATGGTAATGGAAGTGTGTTTATTACTAACATTTCCATGCTGCTCTACTTCCAAAGGCTGACATCCCCAATATGCTCGCTGCTAGAACCATTTATTATTAGTAGTGCCATTTTTATTATTAGTATTTCCTCACTAGGGAAGAGGTGGTTCTTATACATGAGGGTAAACTGTTCCATGAAAGGGAACTTTTATGGAAGTTTTCCATACGTTGTAGTCTTGCCTACCTGGAAACACTATATTAGGGAAATGTAAATAAACCAAAAACAAGCTTGCAACGTACCATTTCTTTATGTAATTCAGCACACGTGTGACCCTGAGTTTCTCTTATACCACCCCCCTCTGCAGGGAGGCCGGACCCATGCGATTGGTCTGCCCCCGGCATCTGATGGACCCGTCAGGGTTTCAGAAGGAGCTGGGGGATATTCCCACGGATCTGCTCCATGGTCCAGCGGAGGTCTTGTCTGCTGCCTGGAACAGGGAAGTGGCCGGGGCCTTGGACAGGATCGCCCTCTTGCCACATTGGCCCCGACACTCCCCGTGGTTCACGGAGGAGTTGAGGGTGCTGAAGAGGGTTAAGAGACGTCTAGAGCGCCGCTGGAGGAAAACAAAGACTGAATCCGACAGAACACAGGTTGGAGCCTCTATCAAGGCCTACCTTGTGGCCATAAGAGCGGCGAAATGCCTCTATCTCTCCGCCCTTATTGCGTCTGCAGAATGCCTGGCGGCCCTGTTTAGGATCACTAGGTCCCTCCTTGGCAAGGGGGATGTGGGGGTTCATTTGCAGGGCCATGCAGAGGAATTTTCA